GTGAATGGAGGTTGTGCAGTAATTTGACGTTTCATTGGCCTCTGTGGCCACAAAACTATTCATGGGGTATACATGCATAGCACAGGCAGACATGTGTAGTGGTACACGTGTGCATATGTAAATCGGTGTGTGGCCAGAAGGCACTCTCTCCATATAAATTGGAAATATTTGCATGGATTTAGTTTTTTTGTTTTGTTGGCTGGACTGTGGGAGGAAAAGAGCTGCTTTTTTTCATCAGGTACCAGGAATTGAAATTGAAAGCTGATCACGAATTTGATAAGTTGTGCAAACTTCAACTGATCCAGAAGTTGCCAGAAACTGTTTTTGCAACAGATTCATTTGGTTAGTCTTTAGAATCGAGAAAATGAGTCAGCAACCACAGAGTTGGTCAGAGCAACATTTTAGGGGGAAAAAAACAGGCAAATTTCTTTCTTTTTTAATGTCAAGTTGAACTTTTCTGGATGCTTCAACTACCAGCAGAAATCCCGATGCTACATGTACAAAGTTATGAACTAACCTTTGGAAGTTTTTTCCAGAAAATTCCAATCAAAGTGCAGAAAGAAGAATTTGCTCAGCGAAAGCCGGGCCCAGTTTCTTAAGGCTGGTAAATAGATACTGACCACCAGTTGCCATGCAGGACAGTGATGCTTGACATGTTGTATGCTAACTTTAGGGCTTGTTAAATTTCTGTTCTTAGAAGGTCTATGAAACAGTGGTAGGCCCCAGGTCATTACACTCTATAGAATGAAGTTCTTGTATCTGTACCCGGTGCCGGTATTTTTTTAAAATCTGAATTGTGAATCTAACGCAGGTATACTTCCCCTACATTTCTTATTTACAGTCTGCAAAAGGGCAGGGGGACAAAATGATGTGATACCCAGTTTATTAAGGTTAGGGAGGGGACATCCCATCCCCCATCGAATGACACCCCCTTTGCTTGGGATGCTACCCCACGTATATAAACTTGGCGCTACCAGTCACCTGACTGGAAAGTTGCAAAACAAACAGAAAAACTTGACTTGCGGCCCCCAACCAATCCATTTAACTCCACATGCTTCGCTACGGTGAGAACCTCGGCTACGCCACCGGTATACGTGACAAAATATTTCCATCAGGCAAAATCAATTTCTTTCTGTCCTTGTACCCTAACAGTCACGCCACGCCTTTTATTTCTACAACCAGATACAGGTACATCTCAAGGTGGGTGGGGGTGTTTACAATCGTGGCTCACATGCAGGAAGTTCCAGAGTCAGTGGAAGATTATTCGGGAAGTCGTTGTTGCCATTAAACAAACCTACTGATTATGACCGCTCACCTGAGGCTAGGCACCTGTCCCCAGAGCACTACAAGCATAAATGGCATTAGGGTTTATCAACAAATGCATTTTAATATTGAAAGTGCCAACCTGAAGTTAACAAAAGTTTACCGGTACTGGTACACTTGGACTGATCGTATTTTACTACAAGTTTAAGACTTTTTCGTTGCATTGGTACATACATGTGTAGGCCTACAGGTACCAAGCATGTATATTCCTCTTTTTAGAGCTGATTATTTATATTATCTACATGTACATTCATTTTCAGTTTCATTGTAGCTGATTGTGTTGACCGATCGGATACACAAAATAATGATAAGTGAAAATCAGAAGAGTCTTAAATACTTTTAGCGCACCCCCAATCGGCGAAAGAAAGACAGGTGGTTATAAACTGGTGTGTGGGTCCTTGCACGCATTCTGCGTGTACGCAAAGACCACACAGGCCGGAATCAATTACATGTAGTTACATGTACTCGGCATGCTCCACGTCAAACGCGCATGCATGTACATGTACATACTTGCAGGCCCTCGTGGCGCACCTATGCCGTGAGTACCAAAAAAAGTCTTCTTTTGTTCTGCGCGGAGCGGATACTTTTGATCGTAACTACCGGTATATCAGTTACTCCACTGCCTATGTGTATTATACAGGCTGGTGCCATGTACATGGATTAATACATGTACATTAAGTGCATACCCGGTACTACAGTGTACATGTATTAGTTTTGGGAAAATCAATTTGGAGTTGGGGTAGTCAGGTGGCTCTGCTGTCATCCCTGCACCCTCTTTCTCTCCCCCTACACCTTTAGGACCTGTGTATATGTACAGTACTTGTGTGCTGTCATTTGCTATGTGTACTATGTGTAGTCTACGTGCATGTACTGTACATGTACACATTTGTTGTATGTGTGAGCTGTTCTATAAATCCAGAGTTCAAACTAAAAATGTGATGTTTCTGTTTCTCTGTTACATGTGACCAGGTTTTTTGTTTTTTTTTTTGGTAGGCAATTTGGAAATTAAAGAATGTCTGAACTAAGCTCGCAAAAGCACGCATTAGATGTGACAGAGACACACACAAATAACTGGACCCCAGATTTATAGATTGACCCATGTACACATGCCGCACATGCTCCTTTCTTCTGATCTTCACGTGCATGACTTTGTACCGGCATGAGGAAAATGGCAAAAATGCCAGTAAATGTATATCGTGATTACTGTAAATCAGATGCTCTTTGTTCAATCTACATGTAGAGCTCTGTTGTACTGTGCATGAACAGTACACCAAGGAGGTACTATGTATGTCCAGGATGCCAACGGAGAAACAGCAGTGACAGGAAGCGATGGCGTGATTTCTGTCGCTTTCCCATGGTACATCCCCAGCAGGAACCCCTCTGCCAGATTCAGTGTCCACTTTGGCTTGCATTGTTTCAGGAAACTGATTGCTGTTGGCTGACTTTTGTTGCCTGTGTTGGGTGTGGGTCAGAGTTCACATTTATTGTTCTGCTTGTGTATTTTGGCACCACTTTCTCTTTATCATGCAAATGAGGTCAAAATATGGTTGTGTTTATTGTAACCTGAGCCACATGTACATGTATGCGGGAAGATTTTGCTTTGGCCAAATTGCCAACTTCAAGGATGTTGTTGATGTGCATGTACTGTAATCAACTGATTATGAGCTTCATAAAATTGTACCAGGTAGAAATTGCAAACCATCAGATGCAAAGAGTCATAAGCAATGAATTCAATTCTGTATTTAAAATGGATTATAATTGATTTCGGGAGAGGGAGAGATTTGTTTTACAAGTGGGCAAGTTCTGTTGGATTCTTTCTTAATGGAGGTGTGGCTATGTATGTGCTGTACATGTACAGTAGGATTCATTGGATGCACTGATTCTATTGGATGGCCCCTGACTTCGGGCAGGTCCTTTAGTGGTTGGTGCACATGATTGGCTCACAGATGGCCCCATCACTTTGAATGACAGTTGTTCCAACTGCCATTTATTGGATTCCAGCAGGCTTCACGCTTCACTGAGCAGGTTCCATTGAATTCAGGAGGCTGCACACTTTGTAGGTTCTGTTGGATTCAGGAGGCTTCAGACTTGAGACGAGTGTTCAATGCTGTTGCTAGATTTTGGAGGATTGAGGATGAATGGAAAAAGTTCATGGCTGATTGCAAAGGATGCCATGAGTGAAGGTCGGGATTAGACCTTGCGATGTTCTTGTTCAGTCATGCATAATTTCGGCCTGATGTTTCTTTTGAATCAACCACACTGCTCAAGAATGCCGTTAGTACTGCTTCAACATAATCTTGAGGAATTGCCGGAGGATTTTGAAGGATTGAGGCACACCTCCAAGTAAAACTTTCAAGATATTTTGGAGGATTGAGGATGCTTCCTAGTAAGAAGGCCTAGGGGGTTAGGGTTAGGATCCAGCTATCAAGAGTCATGGTCTGTATCTTTTAGAACGCTCTTGTCCAATTTTTTGTCCGAATGCATGTGAGAATTTCCGAAAAGGTTCCAAGCCAACACACCCAAGGAGTTTGGGGTTAAAAAGTTGAAACTTCAGAACATTTACCTTTTTGTATACATGTATCACGATTCTTCAACACAGCTGTGGAAAGATTTCTTCCAGGAACGTTTTTACTGGAAAGAGGTGCAATAAATTCGTCATCAGGGCTGCGGTTCATTGACTGTGGCAGTGTTTGTTTGGTTTAGTCTTCATTCAAGGCACTTAACCTCCATCCCTCCCACCTCACTGTGACCTCTTCATTTCCCCAGACAGGCCCACCCAGCTGTTCATTCATAACCCCCTCCTGCATTGAACTGGTGCAAGGAAAAAGTATGATGTCCTCCCGGTGAACCTCCTGCCCTCCTTGATGAATGGAGGGGACATTATCTTTGGCCACAGTGTTTGGATGTTTGTACTACGCATTCCTTGAACCCCCCCCTCTGACAGAAGTAATATCAGAATGTGTCTCTTCCACTTACCCGGTATCTGTTCTGGTAGGTTGGCTAAAAAAAAAAATAAATGGGCATGTTGCCAGTTTTATGTGAGAGAATATTGTTGCATTTCAGTTGAGAAGTTGTTTTTTTCTGGGCAGGTTATAACTTGAAACATGGTTCGACATCGGCGCATAGAGTAATCTTTATCTGGTGTCAGCAACTCTTTGGCTAACCTGTACTGTGCCTGTATGTATGTATTTTTGTGGGTCATCTAGCAGTCAGCCTGGCTCGGGCCAGATGAGCAGTTCCTACATAGATTAAATGTGGAAACTTATGGATTTTTCCAGTTTCTTCATGATACTCTACTTGTTTGGATGGATCCATGCAGTTTCTGGAGCGAGCACTGTTTGGTTACCCATGAGAACCAAGGCACGTCGTGAAGACTATGCCCCGGTTTACGCTGCGCAGGTACCAGTATGGTACATGTACACTGTACCAGTGTTTGGCCTCAATGTTGAAATACATGTAATAAAGATAATGATAAAAACAGGGTTCTACACTAGCGGTAAGCCCTCTTGTCAGAAGCTACACGTTCATGTATATACACGTACATGTACGGTACATGTACATTGTAGCGCCGTAGCCAAGGAGGATGTCTGTAGTACGTGTACATGTACATACATGTATGTACATTGTACGTACATGTACATGTACCAATATGACTGTTCTTGTACAATGGTATACATATGTACACGTACATCAGCTGGTCAGACTATCAAACATTGCTGTCAACTGCAGACCACTTTTCCAGTATGTGCCTGTATGTATCAATGTGCATACAATGTACTAGTATGCATATACATGTAAGACAATACACGGAAGTTGGCTCCATCTGAGTAACGTTCACGAGTGGACAGTTTGCATTTCCACGTTGACCCTAGCACAGTACACTTTCTTAATATGGCCATGTGACATACGGCCTACGGGTACATTAATTCTCCCTTAAATTCCATTACTCAGAATTGGGTGATATCTTAGTTGGCACCATGCCCACTTATTGAGAAGTAGAACCTGCTTCACATGGCATGATGCTTGAGTCTGTTACCTAGGGTATCCCAGCTCCTGTTCCACACCTTGAGATCCTGTGCAGGCAAATCCTGGGGGCTGTATCGATGTCTACTCATGTTGGACTTGGAGAGACAGTGGTTTAAGTGTGTATGGTGCCAGCCAGGCTGTTAGTGGATGGCCGGCTCATTTGCGATCCTCCGGGTGAACCGTTCTGATACATGTACACGCCTCATACCCGACCGTACCCGGTACGGTCAGGTGTTACATTGTGCACATACTGGTACATGCATTCAATGAACTTGTCACTCTTTTTTTTTCTGTGGTTTTATTTAGTATTTTGCCCTGTGAAATTCAGCTATTCACCATACTAACATGTCTGCACACTGTGCAGAGGTATAACTTTTTGCCAGAAAGAAATTACCGCCAAAATGGTGGAGTTCAACTTGATGACTTTAATGTGTATATTGTACAGTAGGAGGCTTGATCACCCGCTGTAAGGATTTAATACATGTAACTCACATTTGAAATGAATTTAGAAATGCCGAAGATTTGTATGTGACATGTACCCTACATGTACGTGTTCAGTGTAGTGCGCAGTGCTTACATTGTACTTTTACAGTGGGATCACGGATCATAGTTTCCTTGTCTGATAAGTGTTCCCTTGGGTGTATTATTTGCCCGACAGGGCGTGGCTGTTGCTCAGTGGGCGTGTCTCTTTTCTAAAAACAGAAACCAGATCATTCAGTGTTGGTCCAATGGCTAATGTTCCTGTATGACAAACTCTCAGAATGATCCCTGCAAGCTGTCAGCTGGATTCTGATCTAGAGAACTCTGCCTCACCATTGCTCATCTTCAGCTGTTGTCTACCGTCTTCATCAAGATAATTGATGTCTACAGGTGCTCTATGTCTGCATACACTTTGTCGGAGACAACCTGGATGATTGTGCATCAGAGGAAGTCGACTCGGCCATTGAGACTCAAAGGAAACCCTGCTTAAAGCCAGCATTTATTATAAATGGATTACATTACGTCCAGTCCAAATGGGCCATCCTGTCACTTCATGGTGTTCTGCCCATGAGTGTCAACTGCCCAGTCAGGTTCATGGGCCTGTTGCACCGGTCACTCGTTGCTGACAACTCTGTGGAATACATGAAGTAAACCCACCTGTGCAACTCTGGGATAAATATACACGGGAACGATGGTGGATGTTGCCGCAGTACTAGCAAGGCGTCGCTGGACATGGTCCAGTAACCTATACGAAGGATATCTGTACAGGTAAGGGCGCCCTCTTTTGTTACAGTGTGAAAGTGGAAAGAAAATAATTCTTGCTTTGAAAATCTGACCTACCCCCGGAAGTCCACAGCACAGGTACCCGTACATGTTGATGTACATGTATCAAACATGTACAAATGTATTTGTGCATCTGTACAGTATGTACATGTACAGCTGGTCTAATGTACATGTACCGTGCCCACATGTTTGCTGTCAGGAACCGGTCTTGTTCCTAGCGCCGTCTTCACACGCTCGTAACGAGCGTCAAATCAAATGTCGGACTTTCGAGACGTCGGATTTTTTGAGGCGATGGATCTACCGGTATGCCGTGGGCCGATAAAACCGTTGCAACTTTCAAACGCATTTGTCGGACTTATGAGGTGTCGGACCTAGGAGGCGTCAGACTTATTGGCTTTTTAAAATGCTTTTCGGACTTAATGAGGCATCAAAATTATGAGGCATCGGACTCACGAGCTGACCCCTTGGTCACTGGTAGCCTACCAGGGTATGCTGTACAGGTATACATTGGCACTGACCCCTAGCGTTTGTTGCGTGCAGTGTCCACACGGTGGCTGTCATCAGTAGGCCACGTTCAGAGCTACCGTATTTTCCCAGTCCTTGCACACAGTCGATGGCTCGCCAGACCCAAGTACAATCAAGCACCTACATGTACATGTAACACTTTACAAACTCATTCAACAAAAGTGCCATTCACATACACCAAGAGGTCCTTGACTTTGTATTATGAGGAACAAAGCTCTGTTAACTGATAATCCCTGATCCCAGAGATCAGTGTTACTGTTAAACTAAAAGGGGTAATCACTGACTGTGTGATGAGATGACTGCCACTCCACTGTTTAAGATGACACTATGCCAACAGATTATCTTGAGAGTTAATCAGTTCATTGAGTCT